GCGCTCGAAGGCCTGGTTGACCACGTCCGCCTGCACCCGCAGGTCCTCCGAGGTGTCCCGCAGGATGGAGTCGATGATCGACCGCAAGTGGACCGACCCCAGGCGCTCGTGCTCGGCGCGGAACAGCATGTCCTGGCTGAACTTGACCCAGGACTCGGGTGTGGAGGCGCTGGGGGGGAGGTGGTCACGTGGGCCAGGCAGAGGCGCCGCTCGGCCCGGGACCCCGCAGCGCCCCGGCTCGTCTAGGGCAGCCCTGCCCGGCCCGGGGCGCCGGGCCTGGGTCAGGCTGAGGGCCGCCGTCCCGCCGCGGGCCTCACCTCTCCTCGAACTTGGTGGAGTGCAGGTGGAACCGCACTTCCGTGCAGTCGTTGTGGTAGCGCGAGCAGGCCTGGTCGATGTTGTAGGACTCCACCTTGTCCGAGAAGCCCATTTCACACACTTCCTTCTGCTCTCGGTTCAGCCTGCAGGGGACCAGGGCCGGCATGGGCCGGGACGGAGTGGCCGGGCAGGGAGCCCCAGCCGGCGTGGGCCTGGCCCTCTGGCCCTGGCCTGGTCAGCAGGGTCCAGTGCCGCCCCCCAGGTGGGGGCTTCTGAACCAGCATCAGCTCAGGCACTCGGTCCCGCCCACCGAGCGGTGACCTGGACGCCCCTGCCCCCTCGGCCAGACCCCAGGCCCCCTGCCCCGGGGCAGTGCCGGGGGTGCCCGGGTCGCCCCGCAGGCTGCCTGGGGTCCCAGTGACCCACCGTATCTGGTCCACGGCTTGCTTGATGGTCCTCTTCAGGAGCTCTTGAATATGCCGGATGAGCTCTGCTTCCTGGGAGGGCCGGGGGGGGGGGGGGGGAGAGGAGGTGGCGCCACGTGAACAGCAGAGCCCCAGCCCTCCTCCCAGCGAGGTCCGAGGGCCACAGTCAGCAGGCACACACCAGGAGGACCTGAGGTTGGGGCCCGACCTGGCCACTGAGGTCCCCCCCACCCCCCGGTTCCTTTCTACTGCCAGATAGCTGAGCTCTCTTCCGGCCTCTGTCCGTGGGTCTGTCTGCAGCCACACTGGGACGCACAGGCCTCGGAGCCCCTGCGGCCCTAGGTGGTGCACACGTTGCCTGCAGAGCCGCCCAGGCCCCCACCTGGCTCCCTGCGCCCCGGGACGGCCCTCCCCGGCGCCGGGGGAGGGCCGCACCTTGAGCAGCTCCTCTTCCACGTAGTCGTACACCAGGTCCGGGTGCTGGCGGCGATCGCGGCACTGCAGGTTGTCCATGGCGATGGAGAAGGGCAGGGCGGTGGCATCCAGGGCGCGCTCCAGCCGCAGCTTCTGGGCCAGGAGCAGGTTGGTCTCGGAGGTCAGGTCCTCCACCTCCTGCTGCAGGTTGGACTTCCAGCAGTGCATCTCCTCCAGGCGCTCGCCCACCTTGATGGTGGAGTCCTGCTGCGTGCGCTGGGCCAGCGTGCTGGTCTCCACGGCCAGCTGCTGGCTCTCCTGCCGCTGCCGCTCCGAGTGCTCGCGGTCCAAGAAGGCCTGGTGGTAGCGGGCGTAGGAGTTCTGGTACCACTCGTCCATCAGGTACTTGGCCGTGCGGAAGCCGGCGGTGGCCAGTCCCGAGGATGAGTGCTCTCCCGTGTTGCAGGCCACATTGTAGAGCTTGGGCGGCAGCTCACACGGGCTGATGGTCTGCGGGGCCGGCTGCTTCGTCAGGAGCACATCGGTCTGGGCCATGGTGCCAGCCGCCTGGTGGGGCAGGGGTGGGGACCAAGGGGGAAAGTCTCCGGGCAGTCAGCCAGGCTCGGTCAGTGGGGGCAGTGCCAGCCACTGCCCAGGGGCTGTGGGCCTCCTGGTCGCCCTAGTGACCGTGTACACACTAAGGGCCTCTGGTTGCTGGGCGACAACAAGGGACATTCAGGGACAGAACTGTCATCTTAAAGGGCCAGGCGGGGCCCCAGCGTTCCATCCCCCCCCCCCCCGGCTGTGGTCCAAGTGGCTGCCCGGGGGCCATGTCCCATGGTGTGTGTGGGGGGGGGGGTCCCGGGAGCCAGTCCCAGGCCTCCGTGGCCCTGTCCTTGGGGCCTGGGCAGGGAGGGGTCTTGCGGCCCTTGGTGCTCAGTCCCTCCTGTGTGTCCCCTCTCCTTCCATCCCGGCCTTCCCTGGAGCGCAGGGCTGTCCACCTGGGCCGTCTGGCCCTGCTGGGGTGGAGCAGCTGGGACTGTGGCCTTGGGACCTACAGCCCAGGTGGAGAGGTCTCCAATCCTGCACCCACGACCCCAGCCCCAGGTCCCCATCACCCCATCCACGGGCACGGAGGCCTTCCCTCAGTCCCGGAGGACAGGGCCCAGCTCCCGCCTCAGCCCCGGGCAGTGCCTGCTGGGACCTGGCTACGTCTGCTCCTGGGGGCAGATGCCCCCCTCCCCCAGCCTCTGAGGGGGGTCTGGGGTCAGACACCAGCCCTAGCTCACCAGAAAGAGGCAGGTCCTGTTCTGGGCAGCCTGGCTGAGATCCACTGGACAGGGACCGCTTCCTGGGGCAATACCCAACATGCCCAAGAGAGGGCGCCAATGGCCGCAGAATGTTCCAGACACTTGTTCTTCAGGATGCTCTGACCTGAGCCCCACAATTCTCTGGTCTCCACTTTTCCAGAGATGCCCCCAAACCCAGTCCTCCTAACAGAAAATACAGCCCCCTACCTCAACACAAGTCCCTCTGCCCAGGCCCAAGCATTGCTCTTCCACTCAGGCACCGACCCCAGGCCCCCTGGGCCTCCTTGTAGCCCTGAGGGCTCGTCCTCCTTACGTCCCTCCCCCATCAGGACTCCCAGTGGCCAACGCCTCAGTCCTGGCTGATGTGAACTCCCAGCGGGAGACCTCATAGATAACACAGGGCCTAGTCAACATGGCCTTGGAGCAGGGCTCAGCGGCTCACACCGTAACAGACACTTGTGAGGCAGAGATTGGGGATGAAGGTTCAAAGCCAGCCCGAGCATCAGGAAGTGTGAGAACCTCCATCTCAACCACGGCTGAACATGGCACTGCGCGCCCCTCCCCCAGCAATGCAGGCAACACGGTGGGAGTGCAGCCCAGGCATAAAGTGAGGCCCTCCCTCAAAAATAACCAGTACCAAAAGGGGCTGGAGCTGTTGCCCAAGTGGCAGAGCACCTGACTAGCGAGCACAAGGCCCGGAGTTCCATTCCCAGCGCTAACAAACCAAAAATGAATGATGAATGCGGGCTTGGAGGCCAGCAGTCCAGAGACTGGGCCGGGCCTTCAGGCACGGGAGGCTGGCCACGGCGGGCCCGAGGCACGCTCCAGATCCACCTGACTCGGTTTCCTCAGGGGGCATTGGCCAGCACGTCTGTGTTGTGTGCTGTCTAGAGCCTGCATTTCAACATGCCGTCTTTCCTCACGCCAGGGCTGCAGATGGCTGGCGGAGTTTGCCCCGGCCCTCTGCCTCTGTGTCCAGAGACTCCTAGGCTAGCCAGGAAAGTCCAGTCTCCCCAAGACTCCCCGGTGACAGGACTTCCCCGAAGCAGGGCCCCCTGGTCTAGAAATGAGATGCGCTCACTGGGTGAGCCAGGTGCGGGAAGCTCCTGACCTGCCAGACCTGCCAGGCTGATTCCCGCCCGGCTGCGGCCACTGGATGCTGGGCGGCTGCGGAAGGCAGAGGGCCCAGCCGGGCCAGGGAGGGGCAGTTTCTGGATTTGTTTTCAACTTGTTTCTGAGATGGGAAAACGGAGTCCCAGGACGCGCTGAGGTTCCAGAAGAAAGGAACGCAGAGCGCCCTCCCTAGCTGCCTAGGGACCTGTGTCCCAGGGAGCAGGCATCCCCCTCCCAGGGCACCCCCGGAGGACACAGACCAGGCCTCCCCCGCCCACCCGAGGCCCTTGGGGCCTGCACACCCTGCCAGCCCCCGCTCCAGAGATGGGGGGCACAGGGTCAGCCCGGGGGTCACTGCTGGCCCTGGGGTGGTGAGGGTCAGCCCGGGGTCACTGCTGGCCCTGGGGTGGTGAGGGTCAGCCCGGGGTCACTGCTGGCCCTGGGGTGGTGAGGGTCAGCCCGGGGGTCACTGCTGGCCCTGGGGTGGTGAGGGTCAGCCCGGGGTCACTGCTGGCCCTGGGGTGGTGAGGGTCAGCCCGGGGTCACTGCTGGCCCTGGGGTGGTGAGGGTCAGCCCGGGGGTCACTGCTGGCCCTGGGGTGGTGAGGGTCAGCCCGGGGTCACTGCTGGCCCTGGGGTGGTGAGGGTCAGCCCGGGGTCACTGCTGGCCCTGGGGTGGTGAGGGTCAGCCCGGGGGTCACTGCTGGCCCTGGGGTGGTGAGGGTCAGCCCGGGGTCACTGCTGGCCCTGGGGTGGTGAGGGTCTGCCCAGGGGGTCACTGCTGGCCCTGGGGTGGTGGCTGCCACGCATGCCCTGTGACAGGGTCCCTCAACAGGGACACCCAGGAGACTCCAGGGACGCTGGCCCTGATGCCCTCCTTGCCCAGTGGCCTGCTGGCCCCTGGCCTCGGGCCAGCCCGGAGGGGGCAGCAGGGCTGCTGGCCGGCTACAGGACAACTGGACCCTGACCTTGGTGCCAGGGCAGGGAGGTCCCCAGCCCTGGAACTGAATGCACGAGGCCAGCGACCTCAGCCCGGCCTGCAAACCTTCCTGTGAACATCTTTTTTTCTTTTTCTTTTTTACAAAGAAACATTTGTTAGCATATGCTGACAGAATGAGCGTGACCGTCCTTGGCCTTCGTCTGCGTGGGTCACTCTGGGACCGCAGTAGCCACTGCCCATCCCCTGGGGCTGTCCCCCGCCGCGGTCCGGGGACGGGCCTGGGTGTGGGGGACCCTGGCTGCTGCGCGCGGCCAGCTGGCCCCAAGGCCGCGGATCCTCCTTCCCACTCTGTCCTCAGCCCGGGAGGTTCCAGATGGGGACGCGAGCATGTCACCTCTGCTCAGCCTCACAGCCTCCTCTGGTGACAAGTGCATCCTGGGAGCCCTGGGAGGCTGAGACGGGACAAGGTCACACAGCGGCGATGCAGCTGGTGGAGGGCGCGGCCATCTGGCCGCCAGGACCCCGGGCCGCCCCGCCCCGCCCCGCCCCGCCCCGCCCTCCTGGAGCCACTGGACTGGAGTGGAGCAGACCCAGAGCGGCCATGGCACACCCCACGGCTCTGGTGGGGTGGGCGCGTCGGCTGGAAACGCCCAGAGCCGGCCCTGCAGTGCAGTGTCGGTGCCACGGGGGGGGGGGGGGGGGGGGTGAGGCCGGGAGGGTCCTGGGTCCCTGCCGGGGGCCAGGGGGGGGCTGGTGAGGCCGGGAGGGTCCTGGGTCCCTGCCGGGGGCCGGGGGGGGGCTGGTGAGGCCGGGAGGGTCCTGGGTCCCTGCCGGGGGCCGGGGGGGGGGGCTGGTGAGGCCGGGAGGGTCCTGGGTCCCTGCCGGGGGCCGGGGGGGGGCTGGTGAGGCCGGGAGGGTCCTGGGTCCCTGCCGGGGGCCGGGGGGGGGCTGGTGAGGCCGGGAGGGTCCTGGGTCCCTGCTGGGGGCCGGGGGGGGCTGGTGAGGCCGGGAGGGTCCTGGGTCCCTGCCGGGGAGTGGGGGGGGGGGGCTGGTGAGGCCGGGAGGGTCCTGGGTCCCTGCCGGGGGCCGGGGGGGGGCTGGTGAGGCCGGGAGGGTCCTGGGTCCCTGCCGGGGAGTGGGGGGGGGGGCTGGTGAGGCCGGGAGGGTCCTGGGTCCCTGCCGGGGGCCGGGGGGGGCTGGTGAGGCCGGGAGGGTCCTGGGTCCCTGCCGGGGGCCGGGGGGGGCGGCTGGTGAGGCCGGGAGGGTCCTGGGTCCCTGCCGGGGGCCGGGGGGGGGCTGGTGAGGCCGGGAGGGTCCTGGGTCCCTGCTGGGCTCCCTCCAGACCTCCTCCACCCAAAGAAGCTCCAGGCATCAGAGGCGACCAGACGCTGCCCCCCGCCCGCTCACCACACACCCTGGTAAAACGGTGTTTCAGAGAAGCCTCGGAGCCCTAGAGTCAAAGGGTGGCAGGCAGGAGATCTCTGAGGCTTGAAGCAAGGGGAGGAGCGGGGAGGAGAGGCAGGCGCGTGCCGCGGGGCAGAGACGGCGTGCAAAGGCGCGTCTGCGCAGGGAGCCAGGGAGCTGGCGGGCGGGAGGACGGGGTGGGGCGAGTCCGGGGCCAGCCTCCCACCGCCCGCGCTCAGCAGCCCCCCATGCCAGTGCTGCCCCGCCCGGCCCCCCTGCCACCTTGATGACACAAATGCAGGGCCTCTGAGCCCAGAAGCCCAGAAACAAGAGCTGCAGGAGGGTGTAAGACTTCACCAGGAAGCCGGGCAAAGCAGCTCACACCTGTGACGCTAAACTGCATGGGAGATGAAGATTGGGAGGCGCCCAGTTCAAGACCAGCCTGGGCAAAAAGACTCCATCTCAACCAATGGCTGGGAGACAGGAAAAGGCCCTGGGGCCGTCCACGGGTGGAGGCCGCGCCGGAGGCCCTGCCTGGTCTCTGTCAGAGGGGTCTTTGGGGCCTCTGGAGCTGGTGGGGACTCCTGGGGACAGAGCCTGTCCCCGGCTGGCCCTGGACGCCTGTGGCCCCCTCAGGGGAGGTGGGAATGCCCCACTTCCCAAGAGGGCTAGACTCTCCCCCCACATGAACCTGTGCCCCCGCACCAGACACCCCCGTCCCCCAGGGAGCCCGAGTCCCTGCTGACACAGCTGCCGGCCAGGGCCCCCTCTCTGCCCCCCCTCTCCCCCCCACCCGGCCTGCAAGGACAGCTAAATCCCCGCTTTATCAGCTCAGCTTTATCTCCAAAACCTCCTACAATTTCCCAGAGGAGAAAATTAAATAGAGGATTTAGCAACCATTCTGTGCAGGCCCAGGGCAGGCTGACTGGATGGCAGCAGCGGATCCCAGGGCCTGGCCTGACCCTGCCCAGGCCTGGACACTTGACGGCCATCAGCCAGAGCAAGTCCCACACTGACCCACCTCCATCCAGGCCGGCCAGCCACCAAGGTCACCAGCCCTGGACCGGTGCCTCCCCTCCTCCTCCACCTCAAGTGCCCACACGGGACACTGAGGCCCAGAGAGGCCAAGATATCATCTTAACCGAGGCTGGGGTCTGGCAAGTGCCCTGGAATTCCAGACACCTCCAGGAGGGGTGGGCACGTGCTGCCTGCCCTCCACACACAGACAGAAGCCAGGGCTCAGCCCTCAGCCCAGATGGGGACGTGGGATGGGGGCCGGGGTGGGGGGCTCAGGGCTGACGTCCCTCACCCCCCCCAGACCACACTGACCACTCAGCCTACAGCACCGGCCTCTCCCACCCAGTCTCCCCCCTCTGGCCGCCCGGGGTGGCCACCGTGCAGTGGCCCGCGACCTTGGGCCGCCCGGAGGCAGGGAGGGGGAGGGTTGAGAACCGGGTGCATCTTCCGCGGGGTGCTCTCCTCCGCAGAGCCGATTAGGGGTGTGCTGGAGTGAGAGAAGAGCCGCAGGGCTGTGGAGAGCCGTCCACGCCGCACCCCCCCCGCCCCCAGGGCAGCGGCCTGCGAAGGACACCGGCCCTGGAGTCGGCCTTGTGGGGAGGAGTCGCGTGCCGCCAAGGCCGTCCCAAGCGCGTCTGGCGGTGTGAGGGCCGCAGGCAAGCCGGGCCCCCCCCAGCCCGACGGAAATCGCTGCGAGGTCCTGGCTCCGCCCGGCACTCAGCCTAAAGAGCCCCTGAAAATAGACGTGGAGAAAGTCATCCGGACGCAGGCGCCAGGCCCCAGGAGGTCCGGACCACTTAGCGGATGGAGCCAGGGGCACTCAGACTCCGCCAGGCGGGAGCGCGGCCTGCTGGCCCTGCGGGAGGAGGCACGGGTCACTGCCCCTCCACGCCAGCTCCAGCGCGGGCACCGTGCCCGCCGCCCCTGGCGCCCTGGCCTGGCCTCCCCCCACCACCCTGCGCCCTCCCACGTGGCACGCAGCCCACACACCCAGCCCCGGCCTCCAGCCACGGCCTCCTCCTGGACCCTGCCCCGACCTCCAGCCACGGCCTCCTCCCAGGCCCTGCCCCAGCCTCCAGCCACGGCCTCCTCCCAGGCCCTGCCCCAACCTCCAGCCACGGCCTCCTCCTGGACCCTGCCCCGACCTCCAGCCACGGCCTCCTCCCAGGCCCTGCCCCAACCTCCAGCCACGGCCTCCTCCTGGACCCTGCCCCAGCCTCCAGCCACGGCCTCCTCCCGGGCCCTGCCCCAACCTCCAGCCACGGCCTCCTCCCAGGCCCTGCCCCAACCTCCAGCCATGGCCTCCTCCTGGACCCAGCCACGGCCTCCTCCTGGACCCTGCCCCAGCCTCCAGCCACGGCCTCCTCCTGGACCCTGCCCCAGCCTCCAGCCACGGCCTCCTCCTGGACCCAGCCACAGCCTCCAGCCATGGCCTCCTCCTGGACCCAGCCACGGCCTCCTCCTGGACCCTGCCCCAGCCTCCAGCCGCGGCCTCCTCCTGCCCCCCCTCCTACCAAGCTGCTCCCTCAGCCCTGTGGGGTTGCAGCTGGGGCCGCAGAGCCAGCCCAGGGCCCCCTCGCCGCTGGCCAGAGCCGAAGGGGACAGAGTAGGAAGTTGGGGGCCACAGGGGGGCCTGGTGTCCCCCCAGCATCTCGCTCTTGGCCAGCTCTGCCCTGCAGCCGGCTTCCAGCCCCGCTACAGCTAGCACAGGGCGCCCAGGGACAATGTGCACCCCGGGGTCTGGACTGAGCGAAGCCTGCGGGAGAGCCGGTGTCTACCAGAGGGCCAAACACACGGTCCTCCTTCCAGAAACAGCAAAGTGGCAAGACGTCGTTACTGTTCTTCCATAGGACGGGTCAGATTGTTCTCGCACCAGGATTTTCCCACAATGGCACAGAGCCCCGAGCTGTCCCCCCCCGCATCCCCCCCCCCAGCACACAAGGTAGAAAGGGCAGCTTTCCGGCTGGGAGGAGAGACGACTCCCGCGTAACCAACCGGAGTGTGCCAGGCTGCTCCTTCTGGAGACAGACCGCAGGGCAGGAGCAGCCGTGCCGGGACCAGGCATGCACCCAGACCGCCGTGGGAGCGCGCAGAGACCAGGGAGCACTGGGCGGCCGTGGGCCCCTCCCCCCGCCCTCTGCGAGGCCCCACTGGGGGGGAGGGGGAGGAGAAGGGGCGTCTCAGAGGTCCCCGAGGGGCCCAGCGTGGGCCGGGCAGCAGGGACACACAAGGCCAGGGAGGCCCGAGCTGAGAGGAGGCCAGGAAGGGAATGATGGCGGCCCAGCTGCCGCCCATGCCCGGACCGGGGCCTGGCCTCATCCACAGCCCTGTGGTCTCCACTCTGTCCTGCCCAGGTCAGGAAGGAGGCGGGGTACTGCCAGGCTGCGAGGAGAGCCAGGCCCAGAGACCAGGCAGGGCCGGCTCCGACCCAGAGCCCCAGGGGTTCTGGGCCGGGATGGAGGGGGTCCCCCCCCATGACACCATGGCTTTCCAGCCAGCACCCGGAGTTCCCTGCTGCCCATCCTGACCCCTAGGCTCCTGGAAGACCACGCCGCCTGCTCCATGGTGCCTTTCACACCGTGCGCCGCACGCAGGCCGTGGGCCTGACCGAGGTCCACCCTGCGGGACCCCAGAAGGGCAGCAGAAAAGTTCCTGGGAATTAGAGCCCTCTCTGCAGAGAGGAGCTAAATATAGACGCGGCCTCCGCTGGCAGGAGAGGGGCGGCAGGACTGGAGTAGATGAGGAGGCAGCAGGGTGGCCCCCAGGGTAGCTCTAAATAGATGTGAGCCCAGGCCGGCCTGTCCCCCCCCGCGGCCCGGGACACCAGAGCCCGCGGAGGCCAGACCCCTCCCCGGAGCCAGTGCGCTGCACCCCTGCGCCCTGGCGTTTCCAACAGGAGGGGGAGGGCTCTGGAGCCCCCGCCACATCCCGACAAACCCCAACGCTCTCCCGGGGCTCCTCTGGCTCTGTGCCACCCAGGCCTGCGCCCCTCCGGCGCCTGGCTGGCCGGCCGGGGCCGAACAGGCCCGGCTCGCTCTGCATCCATGGCTGGCCTTTGCGGGGCCAGGAAGGGCCCAGCCTGGGAACGGGACGGGGCAGCGGCCCGGCCTCAGACCAAGCCGGGACTCCGCAGAGGTGCCCCAGCTCCGCCTGAGGTCCCGGGAGCCGTGGAGAGGGGGCAGGGCTCCCCGAGCAGGTCGGGGTCCATGGTGATGGAAAGAGGCTATGTCAGATCCCGCTTCCCTTGCTGGCTGCCGATCGATGCGCGCGGCAGCCATGGAAGGGCATCTTCACCTGCATTTTCCCTAAGTGCCCTCTCAGCCCATCAACGAGCACCGCTACGGCCATTACGGGGCACGCCCCGTCCCAGAGCCGGCTCGTCACGTACCACAGGCCTGGTGGTTTAGAACAACAGGAATTTATTCTCCAAGGTTCCGGGGCTCAGCTGGTGCTGAAGGGCTGATGGCAGCGAGGTGGATAATGGGGGACACAGGGGGGAGCCAGGGGGGATCGGAAGAGTCCCCTCAACCCAGGAAGCGGGTCCGAGGGGCTCCGGCTGGGCCTGGGGCCTGGTGGCCCTGAAGAGCCTCTTGGTCAACACTGCCTTGGGGTTTAAACCTCTGATGCCGCCGCAGGCCCTGCAGGCTGCTCAGCTCTGCGCTCGCTTGGCATCCCGGGCGGCGGGCGGGACAGCTGGGGAGGGGGCTGAGGCCGAGCTCGGCCAACAGGTGTCAAGAGAGCGAGAGGCCTGGGGCCTGGAGGCCTGGGGCTGCCGGCAGGGTGGAGCAGAGGCCGGCCAGCGTCAGAGAGGCCGGGTCACCCTCGGGAGCTCCCCACACACCGGGCGCCGTGCACACACACACACCGGGCACCGTGCACACACACACACCAGGTGCTGTGCACACACACACACCGGGCGCCCTGCACACACACACACCGGGCGCTGTGCACACACACCGGGTGCCGTGCACACACACCGGGTGCCGTGCACACACACACACCGGGTGCCGTGCACACACACCGGGCGCCGTGCACACACACACACCGGGCGCCGTGCACACACACACACCGGGCGCCCTGCACACACACACACCGGGCGCCGTGCACACACACCGGGCGCCGTGCACACACACCGGGCGCCCTGCACACACACACACCGGGCGCCGAGCACACACACACACACCGGGCGCCGTGCACACACACACCGGGCGCCGTGCACACACACACCGGGCGCCGTGCACACACACCGGTCACACACACACACCGGGCGCCATGCACACACACACACTGGGCGCCGTGCACACACACCGGGCGCCGTGCACACACCGGGCGCCGTGCACACACACCGGGCGCCCTGCACACACACTGGTCACACACACTGGTCACACACACACACCGGGCGCCATGCACACACCAGCCACACACACACACCAGCCACACACACACTGGCCACGCACACTGGCCACTCACACACTGGCCGCCACACGCACGGGGGGCCTTCACTCTTCACCAAGAAGACGGGACACTTCCTAGTAAGGTCAACAGTGAGGAAAGAAGCAGCCCCCAGCCCAAGCAGGAGAGGAGATGTCCAGCCCTGAGCGGCCCTGCTGGACAGTCCAGCCGGCCTGGACAGGTGCTGGGCGCGTGCTCGGTGTCCCCCAAGTGTCCTGGGCGGTGCGGGCTGTGGAGGGGGCGGCGCTGCCTCTGCCACGGCCCGGTGCGTCCCCTGGAGCCCTTGGGGCCCAGCCTTCTTGCCGACTGGGCCCTGGGCTGTGGAGGGTACCCCAGGTCACACCAAGACGCCCCTGGAGACGGAGCTCCTCACCCCAACCACGCGGGGGGGACGCACGGAGCCTGGGAAGGGCCGCACGGGGGAGGCTGCCCACCCAGAGGCCCCGGGGCTCACCCAGACCCCACTCTAGATCAGATGGAGGGACCCGGCCTCTGGCCATGTCTGTCACGTGGGCATGGCCGGAGACCCCCAAGCCCACCCTGAGCCAGGGCCCCCACCACAGCCCCCCTGGCCTTCCGCGCAGAGCCACGGGCGGCTGTCCAGGGAGCTCTTTCCCGGGGAAACCTGGGCCCCTGACCCCTGACCCTGAGAAGGGGGGCCAGGAAGCCCTCCCTCCGCCCCCCCCAAGTGTTCCGCACCCCGAGTGACAGCAGGGCGCAGCCAGCAGCAAGGCACAAACACTGGAACCGGCCCACCGCCCTGGTGGGGACAGCCGGCTCGAGGTTGCCTGGCAACCCTGGCCTCCACACCTCCCGCCCAGAGCCCGCCTCCGCGCGGGGGAGGAGAGGGGACCGGCCCCACTGCTGCGTGGCCCTCCCCGGCACCCGCCCAGTCTCTGATCCCCCGGCCCCAGCAAGGTGGCCCGGGTCGTGTGGCGAGGGAGCAGGTGCAGGGGCCGCGCTAGCCCCATGCGAGGCACCCCCAGTCGGGTCCTTGGAGAAGGGGATGTCAGCCCCAGATCGGGGCGCCCCTTCCCGGGAGGGTGGAGAGGCTGGGCGGTCGGGGCACAGTCACCTGCCGACTGAGTCACCTCAGGGCGCACAGCTGGGACCGTGCCAGGGTGTGGTGCCTCACCCTCCTCGGTGGCCTGGGGACAGACGTGCCCCTCCCGACCCGAGCCCCGGGACAGACGTGCCCCTCCCGACCCGAGCCCCGGGACAGACGTGCCCCTCCCGACCCGAGCCCCCGGGCCCTCTCCGCCCTGACCTGCTCTGCACCTTGGGGCCCTGCACCTTGGGGCCCTGCACCTTGGGGCCCTGCACCTTGGGGCTCCGGGCTGTCCTGCCCTCACCCCACTCCAGGCCGTGGGTCCCAGAGATGCTGTGGGCTCAGAGCAGGCAGAAGCCCTTGCAGCTGGGGAGATGGAATAACTCGAGAGGAGATACGGGGACCCCGACCCATGCTGGGGGTCAGGCTGGCCCAGGGGTGGTGACAGGAGGTGCAAAGGCCCGGGGGCAGACTGAGCCTCTGAGGACTGCTGGGGGCCGGTGTGGGAAGAGCAGAGTGGAGGGTGGAGGAGGAGCGGCCTTGGACCTCTGTATGAATGTGGGAGAGGGGCCACAGTGCTTTTGCAAAGACCTTGGCCAGCTTGGCCAGCTAGCCTTGGCAGGGGGGAGGGGAGGGGAGGGTGGGGAGGGGAGGGAGGGAGGGGAGCCCCTGAGCTGCTGGCCTTCCCTCCCCCTCCCGCAGCCCCAGGGCCGGGTCTGCAGAACCATTTCCGAGGCGTGGATCAGCCAGTGGGAGGGAAGCGGTCAGTGCGCTGGGTGCACGCTTGTGTCCAGAAGAAGCGGTCAGTGCGCTGGGTGCACGCTGTGTCCAGAGGCTCCCGTCCTGACCGCCCGACGGGGGCCTGGGCAGCGTGGGGATGCGGGAGGCAGGCTGACCCCAGGCTTGCTAACTACGAGCAGGCCAGGCCACAGCTGCCCGTGGCCAGCAGGGGGAGGGCAGGGGGAGGGCAGGGGGAGGGCAGGGCCGGGCAGTCAGCTGCCCCCCCCAGCACCTCGCACCCGCACAGCCACCGAGCCCTTGGTCCAGGCTCCCCCAAAGCACTCGGCTGAAGCTCAGCCTGGGACCCCCCACACGCAGCTGCCTGAACAGTCAGGAAAAGTGCCTTCTGCCCCACCCTCACGTTCCAGGAGCTTCACCCTGCAGGGGAAAGCCAGCCTGTCAGAGGACAGACCTCAGGGGCCTTTGAAGACTGAGTAGGAGTTCGGTGTGGGAAGGAGGAGGAGGGTCGTTCTGGCTAGGAAGACCGGAGCTGCGTGGTAACCGGGAGGGGTCACACACCGGCGGCTCCCGTGGTGTCAGTCCATGGTGCCACGAGAGAGCCTTGCTGAGAACGGAGTGTCTGTGGATGCCGCGTGTGCGCACGTGTGTGAGTGTGTGTGTGTTTGGGGAGTGAGCCTGGCCTCACCTTCCCCACACCGTGGCCACGCCCCAGCCCCCCGTGATTCTGTGTGTGAGCCTGGCCTCACCTTCCCCACACCGTGGCCACCTCCCAGGCCCCCCGTGATTCTGCGTGTGAGCCTGGCCTCACCTTCCCCACACCGTGGCCACCTCCCAGGCCCCCCGTGATTCTGTGTGTGAGCTACCTCCTTGCTGCCTGTGCCGGGCTGGCCTCAACTTCGAGGTCCTCCTGCCGCCACCTGCCCTGAGCCTGTCCTCTGGCGAGGCCGGGGCCGCTCTGCCCCCCGCGGCGTCCGCAGCCCCCAGACAGATGTACCGCGGCACGTGGCCCACTGGAAGGGCCTTTGCCCACGTCACTAAGCCGAGGATCTCGCCGGGATGATCCTGGATGAGCGTGTGGATTATGTGAGTCGGGAACGGGGTTCTCCTCGGGACCCGAGGACCCGGCGTGGGACGGAGACACTGCCCACAGGACAGCAGCAAGGGGCCGGCCTGGCGCACGCTGCCCGCCCCGTGCCCCACGCCCACCACGCCCGCCCCGCGCCCCACGCCCACCACGCCCGCCCCGCGCCCACCACGCCCGCCCCGCGCCCCGCGCCCCACGCCCACCACGCCCGCCCCGCGCCCCGCGCCCACCCCGCCGCCCACCCCACCACGCCCGCCCCGCGCCCCGCGCCCCACGCCCACCACGCCCGCCCCGCGCCCCGCGCCCACCCCGCCGCCCACCCCACCACGCCCGCCCCGCGCCCCGCGCCCCACGCCCACCACGCCCGCCCCGCGCCCACCACGCCCGCCCCGCGCCCACCACGCCCGCCCCGCGCCCACCCCGCCCACCCCGCCGCCCACCCCGCCGCCTGCCCACCCGCCCACCCGCGCTGTGCGGGACAGAAGGAGCTGTCCGAGGCTCACACACATATCCAGGGTCCCAGCACTCAAACCTGCACCCAGCACCTTCCAGCACCTTCCGGATGCTTACCTGGACTGGAATGTTACCAGACACCGGGTGGACGTGCACCTGTGTCCGCGGCCCATGCCGTTCCTCGCAGCGTAGCCAGAGCCTGCCCCCCCCCCCCCAGCCTCGCCCTTCCCTGTTCTGGCCACAGGGGCGGAGGGCATCCTGGGGCCAGGCCTCACCTGGCGCTGGCCGGATGGCCATGGGGGGGAGGGGGAGGGGCAGCGGGGGGATGGCCATGGGGGGGAGGGGGAGGGGCAGCGGGGGGATGGCAGTGGGGAGGGAGGGGGAGGGACAGGGGGGGATGGCCGTGGGGGGAGGGGGAGGGGCAGGAGGGATGGCAGTGGGGGGGAGGGAGGGGCAGCGGGGGGGTGGCTGTAGGGGGAAGGGGGGGCAGCGGGGGGGGTGGCTGTGGGGGGAAGGGGGAGGGACGGGGGGGTGGCTGTGGGGAGGGAGGGGGAGGGGGCAGCCCACCGGCCGGGGCCTCCTCACGGCTCTGACTTTGCCACCTCTGCCCCCTCCTGTCTGGCAGCCTCTGAGCAGCCCCAGGGCAGGGCTGGGGCCAGGGGGGCCGTGGGGGAGCGCACACCTTCAAAACAAGGCACAGACCTCGTCCTGCAGGCGATGAGCAAACCCAGACCTCCCTGCTGGCCGGCGCGGGAGGAATCTGGGTCAGGCCCTTCTCCGGGTGGTGCAGCCCCTTCTGGGAGGGTGGGGTCGGGCCTCCCGGCCCCTTAGCCAGGCCTCCTGGCCCACCCCCTCCCCCGTGTCTCCGCAGCGGTGTGTGGAGCCGCTCCCGCTGCCCCGCACAGGGCAGTGATCCCCCCTAGGACCACGAGGAGGTCAGCGAGGCCCCTGACCGGCCCAGGCCCGCTCGGCCTGGCCCAGCACCGAGGTCCGGCCGCTCCCTCTCAGCTCCCCTCTCAGCTCTGTGTCAGCTGCTTCTCCGGCCCTGGCTGCCGAAGCCCCGGCTGGGGTGGACGGTGTGCAGGCTCTGGAGTGTGCAGGACGCCGCCCGCTCAATTCCTCCCCGCCGGGCTGACAGGCCGCAGACCCCGCCACGTGGGCGCCTGGGGGCGGAAGCCGCTGCTCCGGTGACTCGGCCGCAGGCGGTGAGGGCCAAGGTGTGCGGCACTGGGCCTGCCAGGGGCCTGGGCCTCCCGGCCCAGGACGAGCAGCCCCCACCCCTTCCCGCCGGCGGCCGCCGAGGCCCAGAGCAGACAGGCCCTGCCTGGAGCCCGGAGGCCGCGGGTCTCCTCAGAACGGGGATCTGAGCCTGGCGGAGGGGACCCCACTGTCCCTGGGGGCCGTGCCTCTGGGGAAGGGGGTGCTTTCCCCCCCACAGCGAACAGGACCAAACTAAGCCTTTCCCAGTCTGGAGGCAAGGACGAGGCCCGGGTTCCTTTTTGAATGTTGAGTTTCTGACACCTGCCTTCCCCTCCCCCTCAACTTTGGATGAGCTGAGCAAGGTCTGGTCTCCCCAAATGACACCCAAACTCGCGGCGAATTCCCGGCCCCGTCCGTCCCTGGATCCGAGCAGGAGCTCGCCCCGGGAGGCAGAGCAAGGGGGCACCTTCTTCCCAGGACCCCGGGACAGAGGCTAGAGCAAGTCAGTCAGGACCAACTCGGACCCCTGGAAAGCACCTCTCAGCCAGAATTGCGGGGAGAGGTCAGGGCACAGGGCCGGGCCCAGCCTGGGGACCCATCCTCCACCTCCACCTCCAGCGTCAACTTCACCTCCACCTCCACCTCCACCATCACCTCCACCTCCACCATCACCTCCACCTCCACCTCCACCATCACCTCCACCTCCACCATCACCTCCACCTCCACCATCACCTCGACCTCCACCTCCACCATCACCTCCACCATCACCTCCACCTCCACCTCCACCTCCACCTCCACCATCACCTCCACCTCCACCTCCACCATCACCTCCACCTCCACCATCACCTCCACCTCCACCTCCACCATCACCTCCACCATCACCTCCACCTCCACCATCACCTCCACCTCCACCATCACCTCCACCTCCACCTCCACCTCCACCATCACCTCCACCTCCACCTCCACCATCACCTCCACCTCCACCATCACCTCCACCTCCACCTCCACCTCCACCTCCACCATCACCTCCACCTCCACCATCACCTCCACCTCCACCTCCACCATCACCTCCACCTCCACCATCACCTCCACCTCCACCTCCACCTCCACCTCCACCTCTACCATCACCTCCACCTCCACCATCACCTCCACCTCCACCTCCACCTCCACCTCTACCATCACCTCCACCATCACCTCCACCTCCACCTCCACCTCCACCTCCACCATCACCTCCACCTCCACCATCACCTCCACCTCCACCTCCACCTCCACCTCCACCATCACCTCCACCATCACCTCCACCTCCACCTCCACCATCACCTCCACCTCCACCTCCACCATCACCTCCACCTCCACCATCACCTCCACCTCCACCTCCACCATCACCTCCACCTCCACCATCACCTCCACTTCCACCTCCACCTCCACCTCCACCTCTACCATCACCTCCACCTCCACCTCCACCATCACCTCCACCTCCACCTCCACCTCCACCTCCACCTCCACCATCACCTCCACCTCCACCTCCACCTCCACCTCCACCTCCACCTCCACCATCACCTCCACCTCCACCATCACCTCCACCTCCACCATCACCTCCACCTCCACCTCTACCATCACCTCCACCTCCACCATCACCTCCACCTCCACCTCCACCTCCACCTCCACCTCTACCATCACCTCCACCTCCACCATCACCTCCACCTCCACCTCCACCTCCACCTCCACCATCACCTCCACCTCCACCTCCACCTCCACCTCCACCATCACCTCCACCATCACCTCCACCATCACCTCCACCTCCACCTCCACCTCCACCTCCACCATCACCTCCACCTCCACCATCACCTCCACCTCCACCATCACCTCCACCTCCACCATCACCTCCACCATCACCTCCACCTCCACCATCACCTCCACCTCCACCATCACCTCCACCTCCACCATCACCTCCACCTCCACCATCACCTCCACCTCCACCTCCACCTCCACCTCCACCTCCACCTCCACCATCACCTCCACCTCCACCTCCACCTCCACCTCCACCATCACCTCCACCTCCACCTCCACCTCCACCTCCACCATCACCTCCACCTCCACCATCACCTCCACCATCACCTCCACCTCCACCATCACCTCCACCTCCACCATCACCTCCACCTCCACCATCACCTCCACCTCCACCATCACCTCCACCTCCACCTCCACCTCCACCTCCACCTCCACCATCACCTCCACCTCCACCATCACCTCCACCTCCACCATCACCTCCACCTCCACCATCACCTCCACCTCCACCTCCACCTCCACCTCCACCATCACCTCCACCTCCACCATCACCTCCACCTCCACCATCACCTCCACCTCCACCATCACCTCCACCTCCACCATCACCTCCACCTCCACCTCCACCATCACCTCCACCATCACCTCCACCTCCACCTCCACCATCACCTCCACCTCCACCATCACCTCCACCATCACCTCCACCTCCACCTCCACCTCCACCTCCACCATCACCTCCACCTCCACCATCACCTCCACCTCCACCATCACCTCCACCTCCACCATCACCTCCACCTCCACCTCCACCTCCACCTCCACCATCACCTCCACCTCCACCATCACCTCCACCTCCACCATCACCTCCACCTCCACCTCCACCATCACCTCCACCATCACCTCCACCTCCACCTCCACCATCACCTCCACCTCCACCATCACCTCCACCATCACCTCCACCTCCACCTCCACCTCCACCTCCACCATCACCTCCACCTCCACCATCACCTCCACCTCCACCATCACCTCCACCTCCACCATCACCTCCACCTCCACCATCACCTCCACCATCACCTCCACCTCCACCTCCACCTCCACCTCCACCATCACCTCCACCTCCACCTCCACCTCCACCTCCACCATCACCTCCACCTCCACCATCACCTCCACCATCACCTCCACCTCCACCATCACCTCCACCTCCACCATCACCTCCACCTCCACCATCACCTCCACCTCCACCATCACCTCCACCTCCACCTCCACCTCCACCTCCACCTCCACCTCCACCATCACCTCCACCTCCACCTCCACCTCCACCTCCACCATCACCTCCACCTCCACCTCCACCTCCACCTCCACCATCACCTCCACCTCCACCATCACCTCCACCATCACCTCCACCTCCACCATCACCTCCACCTCCACCATCACCTCCACCTCCACCATCACCTCCACCTCCACCATCACCTCCACCTCCACCATCACCTCCACCTCCACCTCCACCTCCACCACCACCACCTCCACCTCCACCTCCACCT